TCTCTTCCAGTTTGTTAGAAGTTACTCTCATATGTTCTTTGGTGATTTCAAAAATATGAAAAAACAGCTTATCTAAATCTTTAATTAGGGACAGCTTGCTTTGCTTCTTCAAGTCTGTGTTGCTTTTGAAAGTGATATGACACTATTTTTTGGTCAAGGGAAATGTAGAAAAACACAGTAAATTATCAATCTGTTTTAGTAATAGTAACATTTAAACGTTGGCCATTTTTTCTGAGGAAAAACTTAGAAAGCAAACACACATCAAAGTTAAACTCTGCAAAGTTTCCCTGCTTGCTTGCTTTACATCAATCCATCATTCTCTATTGACTTTCTAAATCAAAAGCCTGGTAGAAGGAACTGTAGAGTCATAGTGTCTTACATATTCAGGTGTGCTGAGCCGATGATTAACTACACCATGCCATACTTGGAGTGCCAATATTGAGTAAAAAATACAGGAATGCTGTATGTGTGCCTGTTAGGAGGAGGAAATTGTAATGTAAAAGCTGTCATCTTTCTTCCAGTTGTTACTTTCTGAGAAGATATCATGTAGTTTCTTCGAGTTGCTGTCTAAGATTTGTGGTGCTACAGGTGACTAGGTTGAAAAGTCCAGGCATCTTTATACCTGAATCAGGATCTTAAGTTACACATAAATGCAGTCTTCATAGCTACACTCTAATTTGGTGTCAAAAAACTCTTAGGCAGCATTTTGGTTGATGTTCTTAAGCTTTGCACTGGATATTTAAAGTGTAGCTGATCATACCAAGAAAACAAAACACTTCAAATGTGACTGTGTAAATGTAATCTAAATGCACAGACGAGCTCTGGTAGAGATTCGTTGCCTTCATGTGAGTAATGTGATTGTTTCTGTGCAATTGAATTACATTAACTTTATTTTACTTTAAAACTTCTTGTGTGTTACTTACCTTCTAAAGATCTTTTTCAGTGGTGAAACAATATAATATAGAGGCAGGACTAATCTTTGGGATGAGAACATCAGATAAGATGCAGGTCTTTGTTGTTCAGAGCAAAGGTGAAAAAGTCCCAGCAACATAGTCTTTATGCAACATGACTAGTCCCTTGGCCTTGCTATGAGGTAGTATCTTCCGGCAAAGATCTATACTACAAGTAACACGAAAAGGTGTCTTCGGAATTTGGGATGGCCTGTGTTTCAGTTAGTATGATAAAAAAAAACAAAATAAAAAATAAATTAATCACCATATGATTGTTGTGTATTCTGGAGCCAGATGATATGCATATTGTAAGGGGAAAGAGCTTTCTAAACTCCATTAATAATAATTATGCATATTTCCTTGTTCCATAGCAAATGCTTAGCAGAATTTGTAACAGGCTGCCTGTTTGACAGACTTTGGATTTCCTTCAGATGAGAGGTGAAAATAGTTCCTGTTTTTTTCTTCTGCCCTGTTTATGCCACATGCAGTTCTGAGCATGGCTTCTTGCATTCCAAGTGCCTTATGCATTGCTGAGCCTGTCCCTGCATCACTTAGTAACAGGACTTCCAGCCTGCAGCCATGATGTCAGGACATATCATTGGAAACAAGGTGCTTTTCAGCAAGGAAGCTTACTTCCTTTGGAAAGACAACCAGCTGTCTTCAGCTTAAACTATTGCATTCTGTGACATTTATTGTCTTCTACCTTAGTAATACTAAAAATAGTTGATCACAATAAAAAACACCTGGGAATAGAAATTACAGTGTTTGTGTCTTTCTCCCCTCCTGCGTTACTAATTAATGCAAATCAGGAGAGTGAGAGGGAGAACTGGTAAGTTCAGGCTAATTTGCAGGTTATTAGAAGCTTATTCAGCCTATACTACTTGGAGCCTTACTTTGTGCTAGTCAAACACTGAAAAGAAGGCTTATCTTCAAATTCCATGGATGTTGAAAGAATGAATACAGTCAGTGCTGATGGCAGTTTGAATTGCAAGCCCTTTAACTAATGTCTGCTGAGAATTTATCAATTATTTTAATCTCTCGGAAACTTTCCAAGTTAGCCAAATGTTTGTGTTTCTTGGAAAATTTAACTCACAATGCCTGGCTGATGTCATAACCACAGCTTTCTGTGTTCAGTATTCAAGCATTCTGTAAAATCTTATTTCTTTCCTTTTTTTTTTTTTTTTTTTTTTTTTTTTAAACATCACCATTTATTTTTTCCAACATTTTCTTCTACCATTCTAGAATACAAAAAAAAAGTTTACTGTCTTTTAAGTGAACCAGACAAACCCTTCAGTTAACCACACCATGGGAAAACACATACTGGATGGTTGAAATTTAGTAAAAATGGGAACAATGGGAAAAAGGTCCCATAGTGTAGTCTCACTTATAAGTAGCATTTCCTCTGCCACGTATATTTTTTTTTTTTATAGAATAAGATACTATATTTTTAAAGCTAAGCTTGTTCTTTTGCTTGGTGCGTTGCAGTACAACTTTGTGGAGTAGTGAGAAGCTCTTGTGAGTCATAGAAACAGGAAATTACTTCAGAAGCTACTGTATGCATAGAATAACTTTTCAGTTTATTTGTAAAAGAATAACAAAAACTCTAATCCCAATTAATGAAGAATCTGTTCCAATTGACTCTTAGGTATTCTAAGGAACAGATGTGTTTTAAACCATGTTAATAATGTGGGTTCAGTATGGTATCCATTTTTCTGCTGTCTTAAAAAAAAGCCACAACAGAATTTTTTTGGCTCTATGCGTTTTTCATCATAGAATCACAAAATGCCTAGGGTTGGACAGGACCTTAAAGATCATTGCGTTCCAACCCCCCTGCCATGGGCAGGGACACCCTCCACCAGACCAGGTTGCTCAAAGCCT